TTGACTTGATCCCTAATACCAAATTAATTGCAATAATACACAAAGCTCAGCGACTTATGGTCATAAACAGTAACTTGAATCTTGTTCTGTTCTGTTTTCTTTTTTCAGACTTGAGACTGTTCCTCATCTTCCTTGGATGAGTCAAGAGTGTTTTATGCTCTTTCCACAGCTTGTCCTTTTTGATGATCAAACACTGTTTTATCATTTTGGGAAAGCTCTCTTTCCAAACATGACACAAAGGATGTGCAATGAAATGCTCCCCCAGAATTTCTCCATGCCAAAATGTCAACTCCATTTGGGAATGGTGCTACCATGTGCTGCGAGACATCTGGATGATCCATGATTGATTACCAGTCCAGCAAGTACTTGTTATCAGAAAGTACCAGATATCAGACTTTTCCTATGCTATGTCATTTGCAGTTTCCTGTGGTCAATTTTCTCCAGGTGAACAAGACTTATGAAGTGTGTTAAGGTTGCTTATGATGTTATTTAGCCTTGATTAAAACAGTAATGGAGGCGCAGTGGCCTCATGGTTAGTGTGCTCTTCTCCGGATTGAGTGGTCTGGGTTCGAGCCCTGCCTGGGGACATTGTGTTGTGTTCTTTGGCAAGACACTTTACTCTCACAGTGCCTCTCTACACCCAGGTGTTTAAATTGGTACTGGTGAATTTAGTGCTGAGGGTAACCCTGTGATGGACTAGCATCCCATCGAAAAGGGAGTAGAAATACTTCTTGTCACTTCATGCTACAGAAACGGGAGATAAGCGCTGGCAAGATGGGCCACTTGGCTCGTATGCAGACTTTAAACCTCCCATCACAGGTCATATGAGAACATAATTTGCATCATTCTTTTTTGTCAATTTAAAATACTCTTTGATGACATAGGAGCTTTCTCTGACTGCCTATCATTTTGGTCGAATAAAATTGAAATAAATGTACTTAAAAAATGTGGAGCCTCACTGATGAATGATGTAAACATTTTTTGTAGGAAAAGGATACGGCTTCAGGTGTTCTGCAAATGCTTTGATCTCTTCAGCCATAGTGTCCTGTGAAAAGAAGAACAGATGTGTATAAATTTGTGCTCCTCTGCAGTGATTTTCTAAGCTGAAAGTAAGGCGTGGGAACTAATAAACCTGTTAAGGACGTTTGCACTAATTGTTCTTGCGCATCCTTACTGTGCATACAAATTCACACACCATGTCATGCATCAGAGTGTGCACTAAGTAATAAAATGAACAATGATAGGGCAGATGGCCATTGCTATAGCTTTGCCTGGATTTAACCATCTTGGACATTTGGTGACACCTACTTTTCTTTCCAGAAACAGATTTTATTTACAATTACTTCCACATTGTCCAAAAATGAACAAAAAATCAATGTGGGAAGTTGAAAAAATTTCAAAGATTTCTGTCCACAGGACATCGAATCCTGCCATCTTGCAGCTGCAAGACACGTGAAACTATAGTTGACTAAATTCACTTAATAGGTCCACCTAAACAATAATTGGCATAGAACATTTCATTTCAAAGATCAAATTGAAATATTTTTGGGCTTACACTGTGGCCTTATTCGCTAACCAATTTTTTCAGATTTAGGGTGTTCTTCCAGGCATGTTCCCTCCAAAGTGAACTCGGTGACCCCCCATTTTTTTTACATTTCCTGATATAACTACGGTAACTCATCATCTTACAGTGGTAAAAGTCTCAGAAAAAAAAATCAAGGTTGGAAAATTTTTGCATGAATGTCCTTAACGTCTTTGTAGAGTGCTATGAGCTAGGGATTCTGTGACTAACCACTAACGTGCATGTTACCTGTTGAACTGTGGTCAAAAGGCTGATCTCAACAAGGTACGAATCTGAAATGGGTTGGCATGACTGTGGATCATTAACACTGGCAACCTGAAATGTTACAACCCATATTAATTAATTGTCATAATGAACTAATCAATGATTAAATATTAAATAAATTTATTTATTTAATTAATTTATTTATTAAAACTAACACTTATTAAGAACAACAAGAAAGGTGGCTAATGGTCCATCAATAAAGTATGTGATATGCACAATTTTTGCCAACTTTCAGTCAGATCTTTTCCATAACAACATCTTGTAATCTCAAATACTTTGTAAGGCTAAGGAGTTTCAAATTTACCATTTGCCACCTCTAAGATGGATTATGAACCTTGCCAAGGACCTCATCTTAGACTTTATAGATACATATATGTTTATACAACTTATCTCATTCTATGCCACTGAATAAATTGCTTCATGCTATGAACCCACAGTTGCTCTAAAAAGAGCAAGGGCTTAATACTGTAATAATTAAAATATGAATTGGCTCTCAGATTATCCTAAACAAATCTGCCTAATTGCGCTGCAAAATTCACTGGACATGGGAAACAATATTACAATAAGTAATAATAGTTACTTACTCTGCAAACTTGACTAACAGTGATGCGCATGTGTCCTTTAACAAAATAATATCCCTTCAAGACAAATTCACTTTCAAACCTAACATGACAAGGAAGAAGAGAGACTGTATTGCATGTAGCTTCAATGTATCATAGACACCTTTCACATCATATCAACAGCTTACTAATACATGGAGTTTGCTCTCTGTTCTAGAAACATAGCATTTACGACAAACATTTGTACAAGGCATTTTCTGTGAAAATGAATTGACTCTCACGCGACTGTCGACTGAGATGTCGATCGAGCGTTGACCGAGTGGCGATCAAAAGTAGCAATGAACACTTGTCTGCAGATGCCTTTAGGAGGGGGGCATTGGGATTTTCGGTTTTGGTTATTTTTTAGATCGATTTTTCGGTTTTTGTGCCAAAAGACTTCGGTTTTTCGGTTTTGGTGTTCATTGCAGTTTGTGGATTTTTTGTCTTTTAGCATCTGGTTTTCGGTTTCTCGTAAAAAATACTAGGGGTTTTTCGGTTTTGGTATCCAATGTGGTGTTTGGTTTTTCCTATTTTGTCCTATTTGGGTTCTGGTCTCTCTTTGATTTGAGCGGCAATTGATCTCGAAAAGCCACGAAACGCCAAAGTTATTGAGAGGAATGCGTGACAAACTAAATGTCATGGTAGGGGATCACGCATCTCAAATGACGCCAGAGACTGTAACCTTGCAGACCAGGGTGATCATTAATTTGGTCAGTTTCCAACGTGCCTCCCGTGCCAGCAATGGAAGAAGCAATTATTGTGGATTGTTTTGGGTTTTTTCTTCGAGGAGGGGAAAGGTGGCAAGAATTTTCAAAAGAAAAATACGTCTAGATGTAAAGTGAAAAGGGAAGAGAGAAGCCCGCAGAAGCTAAAAGATATTAAAAGATATGAAGGTTTCAGACAAGTCCATGATATTCACAAATACTTTGATAAAATTAGTGTTAGTGTAATTTGCTCTGTATACTCCACTTGGCACAATTGTATCATTTTTTGACGGTTTTGTATGCAGTTTTCGGTTTTGGGGGAATTTTTTTGCGGTTTTGCGGTGTTGGATGATTTTTTCTTTGGTTTTGCGGTTTCTAATATACCCCAATGCCCCCCCTCCCCCGCCCTCTATAGTACACATGATTTTACTGCTTGATCCAGGGTCCAGTCCAAATTTATGCATGAACCATTAAACTAGACTACACCTCTTAAGACTAACAAAGTAGAGAGACACAATGAGAAAAACAACAGACCTGAATCCAAGTTCTTTGAGGAAAGTTGTCAGATTATCACTTGTTGATACCTCCACACAGCTACGTAGCAATGTGCTCCGACTTTTATCGCCCATTTCACTTTGACCAACATAACGAAGTTGCCTGTTGAGCAAAATGAATTTGTTTTATTAAAAGCTCTGCTAAATAAGCAAACTACCAGGATGTCCCACAGTGCAATTCTCTCAGTCCCTTGTCACTTTGAAACAAAACAAACTAATGCTTACCATGGGGCTTTTGGATCATCTAGGGAGTGCCGTGCCCTAAGAGAAACATTGCTGCCAGGACTACCTTAAAAAACGACAAGAAATACTACATAAACACTCTGACATTGAGAAACATGGGACCTCCTTAAAAGGGTGGGGTATGACTTTTTAAAATATAACTTCCTTTGAATCAAATCCAGATTTTTTTGCTAGTCCATACCTCAAGGCTGAGCTCTTCAATACCTGAACATTCATGAAAGAAAGGAAGGAAAAGGAAGGGGCAGAGAGAGAGAAAGGGAGGGAGGAAAAGTTTAATGCGTTGATCAAATGGAGACATCAAAATCCTAGCTCTTCCAGGGATACCCAGAGTGGGCATTGTGTTAGTTTTTTTTTTTTTTTCTTCACCATTAAAAGATTTGATACCACATCAGAAGGGTGGGGAGAGGGAAATTTTAAAATAAACTGCCTTGAAATAATGGTGAATCGAGAGTACATTCAGGGCGCCGCCCCGTTCTTTTGTAACAAATTGGTTCCTGGGAGTAGGGGCATTTCAAGGTGAGGTATTTGAACACCATATTTGGCATCTTTGGCCCGGGAGATGGGTTTTTGAACAGCCAGAACTTCAAGTAAAAGCCCTGGTGGTCGTAAGCTGCGAGTGGATGTTGAGGTTTTGTACTGATCGGTACATAAGTTCGTCTATAGACATGTATCGAAAGTGCTATCCTACAATTTACGCACAAATTATGAGCTCATTACCAAGTGTACACAGCATTTCATGATCCACAAACGTCGCAGACTGCCGAGATGCCCCATCACACAATCCTCTGAGTCTGTGCAGCAGAGTGTTCACAGATTCCTTTCCTACGCTTCCTTGCAAAAAGTACTCAACTTGATTTTGCCTCCCAACCACCGCCATTTTCTTTCCAATCATCGGGTATCCCGACTATTCTACGACAAGCGCCAAATTCCGAACGTATCCCGAAGATTGAGGCTGCTTCTTTGAGAGTGGAGTGGCTTCATTTTTCCGAAGGTATAAACGTCGCTATTTAATTTTTAGGACTTCGATGTACCTTTTGATCGAGAAAAATCATTTTAGAGTAACTGTGAGTGGGTATAAGAATTTCGCACTCTGCCGTGAAAATTTCGTGTATTCGGAAAATGGCGCGGGACTGGAAAATCAGTTCCCAAGAAGCCTTGCGTGACTACAAGAGTTGTGAAAGGCAGCGCTTGATCACAGAGGACGCCATCCATCGAGGAACTGAGGGAACACCAAGACCTTTGTGGGAAACACCACCAAGTAGCGAGGGCCCTAGAGGCTGTAACCATCAGCAACATGACCACGACTGAAGAACCACAAGTCGAAGAGAAACAGCCAGTTGAGAAGAAAGTTGTTGGTAAGTGTCGTTGCGCGGAGAAAATCTACGTTGCATGTCACATTGAAAGCGACATCGCGAACATGTGCGCCGTAATAGCGTGAATATGAATTGTTAATGTATATTGTCACGATAGGTTTTCCGGCCACATGGCATGTTCTTATTGCCCAGATTTTGTCCCCTTTTCCAACTGTGGCGTTGTGCTGTCGACTGACTTAAATTGTTTGCCAAATGACGTGGCTTTTTGATTTTTTCAGCCAGCAAAGTCACCGGTACGGTAAAATGGTTCAACGTAAAGAACGGTTATGGCTTTATCAACAGGTTAGTTCAAACCGGTTTCGTCTTTCCCGTCTTCTTTATTCGTTTCCCCTTTCGTCGATTGTGATTTTCTAACACATTCGTTTAGTTTGTTCCCGTTAGTGAGTGTTTGAAATACGTGTTGAGTTTTGCGCGTTGATGACGAGAGCATAGCGAAGTTTTCGTTTTCACTCTTGAAGGTGACACAGGGCTGATTTGCATTTTCCAATTTTCCCACACAAAAGACCTGATCGTAGTTTGTTTTGCTTTTCTCCTTAGAGATGACAACAAGGAAGATATATTTGTTCATCAGGTGTGCTCAGTTGTTCAATGAAAGTAGCTGTCCAGAACATTCTCTAAATCTGTTGGTGTGAAATCTTGCACTTTTAGTGCGCCAGCATTGAAGCTTCGAGTTGTCAGGCAGTTAAAAACATTTTTTGGTTTCCTTTGTTTGGATAAGAATATATAAAATGGCCACCACCAGTGGCTGATCTCAAAATCGAACTGCAGTTTTTCTCTTTCATTTTGATGTTTCATCACTTAGACTGTTGGATATTTAAATAGTGTTGATTTAATTCTTATGTGCAGTTTGAAGTGTCTCTCTCTAATTTAGAATTCATATGTTTTCTGAACGCAAATATCGCCCTCACTCAGAGAGAACTCTTACTTGGATGAAAAATAAAGTGACTAAGTGTCTGAAGTATTTTGGCAGCTAAGAACATGATATATTCATGCAAAAGTACTACTAATAAAATTGAATAGTTTTTCAGTCAATTACACCTAATAGCAAATTAAGTAAATAGTATGTTTTAAAAATTAAGGACCTTTCAACATAAGGAGAATTCCCTATATTGGACAGAAAAGCTCAGTAATCCCAAGTGTTTATAGCAATCTAAATCATTGAATAAATCACGGATACATGTTTCATTGCGCGAACAGAATTGAACCATTAAGGAGATGAAGTTTCAAACTGAGATTTTAAAATGCTTCTCTTTTTTATTTGTACAGTGTACGTAAATCTACCTTGCCATAATTGTTTTGATCAGTCTAATTTCCTAATTTTCCGAGAGTGACAGACAGGTGACTAGATAGGAGAAACTATAATTTTGTAAACTAAATTTTCAGTTTGGTGGGTGAAATTTTTATCATTGTTTCTTAAATTCATCTACTATTGGTTTATTACAGTTCAAGGCAAAGATTGGTCTTTTTCAAATTCTCCACTCAAGCATAAGCATTTGATAAATTGTAAATCCTGTTTTGGTTGAACTGTGCTGTTCTACACTGATCATTGCTTAAGTTGTCATAGCAACTTTTTTCTGCTCTTAGGAATCGGAAAGTTTGACCCTTATTTAAATTGTATTTCGGCAACAAAATAGTGTCTTCATGAAGCAAGAGAACTCTGATACCACATGCACATAAACAGATAACTACATATTACAAACAAGAATTTTTCTCACGGAAAGCATAAGCTCTGATCTGTGTTTTCGGTAAGGAACATAGTTAATAAACATCAATGGTATACAGCATATGTCCATAAAACAATAATAATTTTAAGTCATGTCTAAGTAAATAACATTAAAATATGTTTTTAATTAGTTTAGTTATAAGAATATTAAGTTGATACTGAATTGGATTCATAACATCACATGTTAAATTGCCAAATGTTGTACTCATTTTGATTCTGTTGTTGACTATCTTCAGACTGCCATCAAGAAGAACAATCCAAAAAAGTACTTGCGCAGCGTCGGAGATGGGGAGACCGTGGAGTTTGACGTTGTATCTGGAGCCAAGGTGTGTAGCTTGTCAGCCCTTTTTGAATAAAATTGTCTCAATTTTAGGTGGTGACTGGCATGAGAAGAAAGCTCGATAAATTCAAGATCAAGATCAATTCACTCCCCCCTCTTTTTGTGTAATACTAGGCTGAGAACTAGGCTTTTTGGGTCACAAACTTAGGAGAAATGAGTTTATAATCTGTGTGCTACCACAGGCACCCTTTTGAAAGGTCTAAATTCAGTCCTCTTCAGCCACCATTATTAATTTCAGCAGGGACTTTTCCTGGGAGAGTTTTCTGACCATCTGTGACAGACGCACTTACATGAACAGTATATTGGTCATAAAATACAAAATTGTCTATGGCGAAGATTTCACTTCTGTACTTACATGTCTAGGAGGCTTGCGGCAATTCAAGAGTGTGCTGAGCCCGCACATTCAACAAGCCTAAACAGCTGTTTTCAGTATGTTACTTATCACAGGTTTGATCTTTTGAAAATGTGTGCTATAGGAATTGTTTTTGTGTGGCAATTTTTCAAACCTCCGGCAGGTTTAATTTCTTTCTTTCAAGCTGAGAAGTCAGTCGGAGATTTAATTGTGACTTTCTTTCATGAATACTTGCTGACCTGTTCTTCCAAACTGCATAGCTATATCTCACACACAATTTGTGTATCCTAATTTCCATGTCAGCCTCCAGTGGGGCATAGGGCCACAATTTCCATGTGGCGGTTTCTCATTTGATGTGTGAGTAACCATTTTGTTCACCATGAACATGGAATACATTCAACCCTTGCCTACACAGTAAAAAAGTGGTGAATAATTTATAAGCTTTTACTATTTTTTGCTACCTGTATGTATTGGCTTTTGTCACAGCTATTTGAATCATAATGAACTTAGGACTGCACATAATTAGACAGTGACTTCCAGTGAATTTGGGCAGAAGAAATTTTATTTTGCAATAAAGTTGAGCTTTCCATGAGTATTGACGTGTGTAAAATGGGGTTGACAGGCCTACACGACTCCTGAGGGTTTGTGACAATTTTAAATTTGCCGTTCTCTTTTCGGTTTCTCAACCTTTCTCTGCTTCACACGTGTTTATGAACGGCACTTAATGTTGTGTTATTAGGAGGAATTTTTAGTAGAGTGGAGCCGTTTGACTGCACTGTAGCAAATTTTCATAGGTCATACCGGTAGGTCTGCATGGTTTCCATTGTTATCTTCATGTCACCATGCAGAGTTTGACACCTCTCCAATTTGCGGTGTGCTTATACTTTGTTTACGCTCATTTCTATTGCAAGATATGTTTTAAGCTCTTTAGGTATTGGCTCTCAAGGGACGAAGTTTGAAATATTCTGTGAACATGTTGCTAACTTGCATTCTATATTGTGATGCCATGCCCGCCTGTTTTATTTGAAATGCTTGCAAGTGCAGTATGTTGCTTATCACTGGTATCATATTTGTCTTTGTCCAGGTTTTCTTCAGAGACTGTTGTAGCTTTACTTCCAGAAAGCTATTTGTTTGTATGCAGACATTCTTATGTTTCTTACATCAATGTTGTACTTTGGAAGACTATTACGTTTGGTTGATAATTATCCCAAAATAGAATTTTTTGGAGACAGAATTACATTTACGTTAAATGCATTTACGTTAAGTATTCTGTGCTTAAAAAATTTTCGCTATCGATATCAGTTGCTTTGGATGAAATTCTGATAGTACCATGTGAACCTTCTGAAATTGTGACATTGAAAGGGTGGAAACTCAGATGGGGACATAAAGACCCTCCTAACAGGGCCTCTCTACGGTTAGAGCTATATGCTTGCTATTAGTTTTAACATCTGAAGTTAATACTGCTACTGGTAAATTTCTTGTCCAATGAAATCCTAACTGTGGACAGATAATCTTGGCTGCTTTCCATTTGATCAAAAATTCTTGGTTGAATTTTGCGGAATTCCCAGAGGCAAATGGAACGGAAAAAAAAAATTGAGGTTCAGTGTGTACCAAAATTTTCAAACATTTCTTACCAGGATTTTTTCTGTTCCATTTGATTTTGCTCCAAGAACTTCCAGAATTTTATAGTTAAATAGTTCGCATTTTGGAAATTCAACAATTCTTGGATTTTCTGGAAAATTTTCTCTGGAAATTTCCATACCAATGTCCTAAGATTCAAAAGTATCACACCGAAAAAGTGAGGCAAAATGACAAATTTTAATTTTTAACATCAGTTGCTTCTTTTCTCCTAGAGTTTCGCAGTACAGTGCAATCCCAGTATTCCATTTCCGAGTTGCGTTTTGCCTCCATTTCAAAACAAGTCATTGTGCGAAAATTTTTATTGAAACTGAGTCTGATTTACATGATAATGAACGTGCAGGTGAAACACATTTTCATAATCATTGATTTTGCCCAAGACTTTTTTCACACAGATGCAAGGTGCTATTCAGAAATAGCGTATTTCTTGTACCCTCAATTTTTTTAACTTCTTGATAACTCGAACCAAAAATGATTTGTCTCCCCTTAGTTGAAGTTACACTGTAATAGTTATTTCACCCCTGATTTTTCAAACTATCCAATTTTTAAAACCAATTTTCGTTTCCCTTAGAGGTTTGAAAAATAAAAAAGATTGAAATTCCACTCTTTGGACAAACTTGACCCAAAATATTTAGTCAATTCAGTATAAGGGTGGGCATCGGACGGCTTATATGACTAGGTGATCTACCTGTTGTAGTGCATAAAACTACTCAACAATGCACTACCTTTTTGTCAACCTAAATTAAATGGTGACATTGTTGACATTTTGATCCTTGAAGAAAAAAATTAAAAAAAAAAATTGTTTGCCATATTGGCTCTTCATAGCATCTTGAGTTGATCTTTGATCTAAATTCAGTGACCAACATCTAATTTCATGTTACTGCATCAACACATTGTCAAAAAGACAGGTGACGAGAAGAACAAAACTCATCTAATTTACTAACAGTTATGGAAAACTAACTCCTTTGTGATGTTTTCAATACTACCTAGTGGTAGTAAACTATTTTTTGGAGTGTCCCTTCATTTGTAGCTGGCATTCAGATACAGTGTAGTTCCTATTTCCTTTGTGGGCTACTTCAGCTCTAGATGGGGGGATTTTTCACACTATGGGTGACACATTACTCCTTAATTCTGGTGCAAAATTTCAGTGTTAATTTACAATTTCACATTTGAAATTACAAAATTGCCACAGCAACGTTTGGCGTGAAGTTTCTGGATACAATGAACAAGTCAAAAACCCACGATTGTAAGCGTATTTTGTCACCCATGATAATAAAATTGGTATACTTATGAATATATTGCCTACTTTCACGTGTCACCATTTCAGTACTTGTACTAAAACTGCTCATGTGCTTCAGACAGTGGTGCAGCACTTTTTAGTTCAAAGACCTTAAGCCTGGTTTCACTATAACAAACATAATGGTATTGAGGCCGCCCCAGCACAACCATAAGGACATAAGCATGCATGTGCAGAATTGGTAATTGCATTATTTTCAGTTCCATACATGTACCTCATCAATACAATAAAACAAGATTTTTTTTGTAATAGCCCTTTATTTTATTTAGTCACTGAAAAAGGTAACATACAACAAAATTACAAAAAATTACAAGAGTTAAAATGACCAACTTACAAAAAGAAATTACAACTGGTGAACCAGTTCACAAAATCTACGAATTGTGGTCTTATAAACACTCGCAAGAATCGAGCAAAACAAAAGTGCTCTATAGAGTAACAAGGTCTTGAATCTTTTTGTCTATCCCGTGCTTGTTTTTTGAACAATTTGAGATAGGAAGTAAAACAGATGGTGGACAAGAGTAAAACAAGATGGCGGTCAATGTTTATGCTTATGTTTGCAGCGTGCTTGTGCTTCAGCTATGCTTGTGTTGTGGTCATCCTCACTGCCATTATGCTTGTGTCCGTGTTTATGAAGTAGTGAAAACCAGGCTTAAATGTTGAATTCTTCTCACTTATGATATCTTTCCTCCTTTCCTTTCTAATCTTCTATTCATCTTTTCATCAGGGTCTTGAAGCGGCTAATGTGACAGGACCTGAGGGAAACCCTGTGCAAGGAAGCAAATATGCACGTAGGTATCTCTCTGACTATGTTGCTGTACCACAGGCTTCTGAACCTAAACGATGAAGAAATCGCTCATCAAAAAATAACATTTTGCCAGTAGGGACCCGACTTCTTAGCTGCGTCGTGAGCGCCTCCTTTTGAAAAAGGGGGAAAGAAAAACGTCCATTTTCTCAAGTGCCTTTTTGGTGCTTTTAACCATAGAAAACGATTATTTTGATTTCGAATTCAATTTCAAAATACTAAATTATAGTTGCTGAAATATCTAATTATAAATGCATAACTGTCTTTCCTGGGCAGCTTTGAGACTTTCGTAACACGTTCTTCGATTGCGCGATTTTTCTCACAGCGGACCGCCGAAGAAATTTCTACCGCAACTACCGTGATAATCGTCGTGGAAGACGCCGCCCCCGAGGCCGGCCGAACCCCGCTACAAACGGAGAGGTCAAACCTGAGGACGAGGGGAAGGAAGGAGGAGACTCGGCTGACCAGCGGGAACGAGACGACAACGAAGAGAGACCACGCCGCAGGCGTCAATACGGCAGGCCACCCCCCTGGGCTAGACGCCGCCGCCGCCCACCACCCCCACGGGATAACGAATCAGGGGACCAGTCCGAGGAGGGGAGAAATGAGGAGCAGCGAGAGGAGTCGGGCGATGGAGAGGAGAGAAGGCGTCCCCGCCGCAGGCGACGCCCTCGGTACAGGTAAAGGATGCTGCTCGGGTATACGAGCCTTTCAGATTTGAAAAGACCTTTTCTTTTAAATTTCCGAAATCACAATTTCAATCTTTTTTTCAGACGCAGGTCTGACGAAGAACGCCCTGAAGGCGAAGAGCAAGAAGAACGAGTAGAACGTGATCAGGAAGAAGGCGGGGATGGTGAAGAGGTGAGCGAGTGCTCTACGATCAAAACCTAAAATCTCCTCACTGTATCAATACCTATCAAGCAGACCGTTGATGAGAAGACTGAAAATCATCAGCTTTCTAAAATTTGTCTTGATGGAACTCTGAGTTTTCAGTGCTAACGGTAAAATAAACGTTTCACCAAAAACACTGTTTTATCTTCTCTTATCTTCTCTTGTTTTAGCGTCCACCTCAGAATCGCCGCCGTCGTCGTCCGTACAACCGTAGATATCCTCGACGTCCTCGCCGGGAGGTGAGTAAGATATATATATGTTATTTACCGGAGGTCCGTACAGTGAAAAACTGTGACCGAGGTGTGGCCTCGGGCAGCATTTTCAAGCCCCAGGTCACAGTTTTTCACTGTGCGGACTAACCCCAAGCCGGGCTTTTATGCAACACAGTGGTAATCAAAGTTGAAGATTATAACCATGAATTTATTGGCGGAGTATTTGAGAAATTCTGACGGACTTGTAATCGGTGCAAACGAGAACCATCTGAAAATTAATCTATTCTTGCTTTGTCGTTAAACAACCCTAGACGCAATTCTCCGAGGTGTAAAAAAATCACACTCAATTTGGAAGGAACCTTAAAATAATAGTTAACTTAAATGGAAAATCGCCAAAAAGGTGATTATAAAGCAAAAAGCAACAAGGATGGTTAAGATTAGGGAAGATTTGGTCGGATTACGAACGATGCAGTGGAGAAAATGTAAGCTGAAATGGCGCGAGTTTCTTTACGCCAATCGCTTAGCGTGGTGATACAAAACCAGATCAAATGCGAGTAACCTTCGACACTCAAGTAAAAACCGCTCTATTTGGTTCCCAGGCTGATATTAATGTTTTGTTTTGAAACAGGACGGGGAGAGAGAGAAAGAAGACCATGAATCAAAACCGGAAAATGAACCGGCTCCGAAAGCCGACGGCACCACGGCCGAACAGTAAACCACCCAAGCGAGGAGATTAGGCAACTATGAGCCTCCACTGAAAATTTAATAGCATTTTTTTCTCTTGTTTGTGTCAGCCAAGGAAGACTTTCAATCAATTATTTTGTCATCAAACTTTGTGTGACAGCATCCGAACTTTCAGATTAGCTCATACTTTTGTAACCGATCTAGTTTGGTTTATTTTTCTGGTTCAGAATGTGGCTTGGTCTGATGAGCTTTGGTTTGCTGTCCTGTGTAGTGTTTAGTTCTAAGTGAGGTCATAGTTGTATTGTCAACTTTTGTATCTTTATCCATCTTGCAGCGGAATTCAATATGTGTGAACGATCGATTTTTTGCCATCATTTTTGCCGTCGGATTAATAAAAACCGTCCGTGAGAACTTTGGTGACTGTTAAGTTGATTATAGTCTTATGAATTAGAATTTTCTCCCATCCTGCGACTTACTGATTTCCCAATTTTCTTCGTTTTCTCACTCTTCTATAATCCTACCTTGAAGCCTTGCGTAGTCTCCCTGCATTGCGCTTAGACTGTTCATAGTGTCTCTATTTTTCAACGCACGCGAAAGAAAAAGCGAACGAAGCGTGCGTGAAGCACGTGGGGTGGAGGGTGGGGAGGCCAGCGAAGCGAGTCAAACGAAGACTATTTTTCTCGGTCCCCATCCCCTACCCCGTCAAGTCTCCCGTTTCGCGCTCTCGTCCAGTTCTCGCGATTCTATCTGCGCGTTTAACTATCGAATAACAAATGCGAGAAAATAGAGGGCTATGAGCAGTCTACATTGTGCTTTGCTCAAAAGCCATTTGTTTTTGACAGACGAAGTCTGACGGAAACGAGAGGGATTCTACAGGTGGAGAGTTGGTTGAATAGTTTTTAATCTTGAAAATTACCGAGCTTTTGATAATTGCAATGGATACGTCACTGAAAGAAGACTGTATTTCTTCATGGTCATCTCTTTTTAATAATGTACTCCAACGCAATGCTTCATACAATTCAACTATTTCATAGGTAGACGTAGTTTTGGTCTTGCCTAGTTCGTAGGCGTCGGTATTTGGCCGCGGCCAATCCAGTAAGTTTGTGTTGCGTGGTCCGTGTGGTGTTCATCATGGATACGTCACCGAAATGAATTGACAGTGAGGGCCTGGTAGAAAGCCGTACATGTGCTTGGCAAGTTCCCCCACCCTGTCTTCAAGTGTCTCGTAGAAGGAGAGAGATTACAACAATCAAATTGTTTCTAGTACTTACTGGTATAATTATTTAGAACCACGATGGATTGCGCCAACCAAGACGCAGTTACAGTTTCAGATTTTGTTGAAGCTCGAACTACATGCACTGCGCAGAAACAGCAGAAAAGATAAGAAACGGAAAACTTTACTTCTCTGAAAACGATAATAACGTCGCTATTTATTAATTTTTTTACGTTAAAAGAGCACTTGAGCATAGCAATATCTTCGTCCAGTGTGTATTCCCTGTGATAAAGAGCTAGCAACACGTACTCTACAAATGTCACGACAAACTCGGTTGATAAAAATTACACTGAACGTTGGTCGTGGTATTAGTAGAGAATAGCAGTTACTCGCTGCTTTCCCAATGAAATATCCATCTCTCGACTGTCAATGTCCATCAAAAGCAGGCGTTTCATTTCGCCGGTTATGTGACAAAAACACACCGTCCTCTTGAGCTAGAAGAGATTGGATACGAGCAAAGAGGCGCATGCGGGATGCGATGTAAAGGAAAGACTGCTGATCGAATCGGATCACATTAACATGCATCACATCCCGCATGCAGCTAGCCTATGAACGTGATCCCGATTGGGGTATAGGGAATGGTACTGTGCGAAACAAGAAATAGGCGAGTGTAGCGAACCGTTCCTGGTATACAGCGGGCTGAACTTGGTCTGTTCACAAGCTAGCTGCTGCTCTTCTCTCGCATTCAATCCCCTTTTGACCTAAACTCAGAGGCTAAAGTTGACTGTAGTTTGATTCAGATTAATGCCATGGCAATGATCCTTTTTCGCTTGTGGCAGATCCGCTTGCACCAATATCCTGTCAGTTCTCTGATAACCCTTTGATCTGTGCCATAATGCTGTAGCATACTCCAATTGCCTCTGGTCAGGATAGCGAACAAGTGATGAGGATAATGACAATGACGATCATCCTAATGCTCAAAGGCTCAATTCTTCTTGCTGAGAGCACGCATTTTTTTCCTCAGTTAGGTCCGAGAATGTAGTTGTTGATTAAAACAGTATCTCCTATAGTTGACCGCTTACTTTATTCTCATCAGCTGTATACCTGGCAGTGTACTGATATTATTAGGAGGAAATCGATGTTGGTTAAAATTATTCAGTCGGTCTCGATCGGTCGATCGGTCACTTAGTTAATAAACCAGTCAGTCAGTCAGTCAGTTAGTCAATAAGCCAGTCAGTCAATCAGTCGTCGAGTAAGTAAGTTTATCAGTTAAGCAATCAATTTGTTTCGTAACTTCATCAGTCAGTCAGTCAGT